CAGGAGACCCTAAACCCTTGAAGGCAACTCTCAGGCAACACTGAATTATGGGACCAATTGATTGCTTCATATGGTCCTAATTATACAAGATAAAATAGAAGCTTTACCCCAACCTGGCTTCTGGAGGGGGCGGGGGAGAGAGATCTTATATTATAATTTATATTTTTATATTTATTTTTATTCATTTATATATCAAATTTGTCACCACCCATCTCATTAAAAAGCTACTCTTTTTAACAAGATGTATATATAATCTCCAGATTTTTTTTAACGAGATTTATATATAAGCTCCAGATCACTCAGAGAGAAACTCTTTGTAGTCCCACACTTGGAGGAAGTGAGGGGAGCCAAAGCCAGGAGGAACTGCTTCTCCGTAGCAGCCCCACTGTGTTGGAACAGACTCCCAGTGGAGATCAGAATAGGTTAGAATAAAAACTGAGTGATTTCAGAGAGTATTCTGATTATGTTTGGTACCATACCATCTTTTATATTTACATTTTTATTTAATTGCACTGAATTTATGTTCATTACATGTGTGGGTTTTCTGATTTATTGATCGAACTATAATTTTTTAATGTACTGTGAAAGGTTTGATTTTCCTTATATTGTGTGAACCACTGAGTGTCATCAGATTGTGGCAGGGCATAAATGCAATAAATACACACACATACACAGACAGGTACATGTGTATGTCTGACCACATATAGCAATAATTAAAACTGAGTTTTTAGATTCAGGTTAGCAGTCCTTAAATATAAAAAAGGTTTTCTAGGTGATAATAGGCCTATGTATGCCTCAAAAATAATTTAGATGAAGCGCTTTGGCCTTCACGTGAGCACAGCATTTCTCTGTCAATCATTAAAGTTGACTGATACTGTGACTCTTAAAACAGATCCAGTTTTTTTCAGGCTTGTGTGGAAACCTGTGAAAAGGCAGGCTGCTTTAATGACTAGCAGAGAGGTGCTGTGGCTATGCTGATGGTTTGAGCAAAGTTGCGCTTAGGTGGCCAGGGACTGACGGAAGAACCGAACGCTGTTCTCAACTGCATTTCTGAAATGGCAATAAAACAAAGTATTTGCTTTTTAGTAGTTAGCCCTGTCTCAAACAGGTTCAGAGCAGGAGTGATAGCTTCTTACTGAAATACACTGGCCGATGACAAAATAATAAAGTTTGTTCTGCTCTGAAATATGGCTGCTCTTTTTGGATAAGGTTGTTGATCAGATTTAGATTGGAGGAGAGGAGGAGAGGAGGAGGAACGAGGACTGAGAAACCCAGTTCACCCACTCCTAAAAGGCATGTCTTTCTTTGAACCTTTCCCTCCCCCCCCCGCCCCCCTTAAAAGTCACTAAAAACTCGAGCAGCCTCACCGAAGCACATTTCCATATCACCTGCAGCTAGAAAAAGAGGCTGCTTATCTGCTCCCACTGTTCAGGCAGGTGCCCTTCCCTTTTAGTCCCTGGAAAGTGGCTTCCTGGACTGTTTTGGTGTGGCAACGGGAGAATCCATTTCTGTCACACCTGGCTCTCCCTGCCAGGTATCTAAGCTGACCTGGGTCTGCCTGAGCAACAGTTGACCCCAAGGGGCAGCAAGGGGTGGCCTGTGGCAAAGCAGGCAAGAGGGAGCGCCCTCTTGCTTTCTGCTTCATGATGGTACAACCCTCCCTGTGTCTGTCAGCTGTTTCTGCTGTTTTTGAACATGGGTGTCCTGCTCTTCCAGAATAACACTAAAGTGGTGTTCAGCTCTTTTTCAAGACGGGTTTCATGTTTTTGGATCACGCCTGCACTAAATGTGTAGCAAAGCAGAGCAAGGTTTGACAGTTACCTAAGCCCCACGGTCTTCCCCCAGCCCCGGCCCTGTTAAGGAGAGTGACTGGTGGATGTTTTGCTAGCTCTGACTTTGGTGGGAGGGAAGGGAAACAGCGCCAGAAGAACCTACCAGTCCTTACCCTTGACATGCCCTGCACCCTGCAGATAGGAATAGTGCTGTTTGCTGGTATGTAAATAAATAAATACATAAATATTCCTGTGCCATGTGGAAAAAGTTCAGTTTCAACAATGCTGGCTTTTTCAAGTGAACACTGCCTCCTAATGGTTACAATTGTCAAACAGGAAAGTTAGGAAAAGTTTACAACAAGAATTTATCATCTCTCCACATGAGTATGTATGTATCATATAGGTACATGATAAAGTATATATGTAACTAAAATCTATAGGTAACAACAATTTGTATTTTTCTGCATTCAGTCCAAAAGAATATCCGCTAAGGATGCCTTAGCTCATCCATATCTTGACGAAGGGCGTTTACGATATCACACCTGTATGTGCAAATGTTGTTTTTCCACTTCTACTGGAAGAGTTTACACCAGTGATTTTGAACCCATCACAAATCCTAAATTCGATGATACTTTTGAAAAGAACCTCAGTTCTGTCCGGCAGGTTAAAGGTCAGTATTGTAAACTAGGAAATATCATTCTTTCCATTATTTAGCAACAATATACCCTTAGCATAAATATACACTTCTATAATTCATGCATATTTGTTTGCTTAATATAAATCCTATTAAGCCAGGAAATGGGCAGTACATCTGTTCTTCAGTATTTGCACAGAAAGGATCTTTTAGGTGGGAAATTTGAGATATGTATAAAATGAAAACATTTTTCAGAATTCTACAGTTACAGAAGAATGCTGAAAGTTTGTATTTTAGACTTTAGGTTCGTCCATTTCCCTCAGCCCAACCAACCACAGCAGGTTGTTGTTGTGGGAAAAGTAGGACATAGCATTATGTATGCCACCATGAACTATGTGAGATGAGTGGCTATATAAATACGATAAATAAATAAATACAGTATTTTTCCGACAATAAGACACCCCCATGTACAAGACGACCCCCACTTTTCCAGCCCAAA